AAAGAGTTCGTAATCTGTTCTTTTCTGTGTAAAATTTTCCAAAATAAAGACATAATTAATATTGAAATATTATTTTATAAACAGAGTAAATTTGGCATTTGTGAAACAACCAATTCATTTGCTGGTACGTCTTTGTTTTTGACTATAAATCTGTTAGACAGAAACTGGCGAATCATTTTGTGGCCCTGAAAAGGGCCTTTTATTTTGAGAAATCGATGCGATATTCTCACTATTTGCCGGGCTCTAAAGCCGAACTACCCATCGCCGTGTGACAAGAGAACCGAGCAGATCACGTAGGTCATGCCGCCGGCGCGGCCGCTGGCACGGCCGCTGGCGCGGACGCTGGCGCGGACGCTGGCGCGGACGCTGGCGCGGCCGCTGGCGCTACTTCTCCGTCGTCCTCATCACCTGACTCCCCAATCAAGTACTGATATGCCAGTACAAGCATGTCAAGGATATACTCGTCGGAAACGATATCCATCTTGACCGTTTATAGTTTGGTTACTGGTACAATGGTACTACCGGCTCGCTTAAGTACTATGCTACGGTATCACAAGTGGCGGGGGGAGGCGGCCCGACGGACAGAGAGATCCACCAATCACAGTCGCCTATGTCTGTCTCGCTCTGGAGAGCGGCGACGCAGTCAGTATTGGGATGCATGTTAGAGCGGGTGGTAGGTGGGCAGGTTACGTTTTTGTCTTAGACTATAACAACGCACTTAGTTCGGAATGTTGACGTATGCATTTTATATATTAGTAGTTTTATCATTAATTTATTAATTTACTATTATAGTATTATTATATTAGTAGTATATATTATCATCTATACTATATATTATATAATTCTTATAATTCATGGTTATATTATATACCTTACATATAATTATACGTATGCGCCCGACTTCGAGGACTCTTTTCCAAGTTTTATTGAGGAAAAAATTCAAATTGTTTCTGTCGTTTAAAAAAACTATATCACATTAGAATGCATTCGGATTATACTATTATTTGATTTTGTCGCTTCGGTCCTAAATTTATGTACTATTTACGCTCGACCCACCTCTGGTCTGTACCCCTTCCTTTGGAAAAAATTGACCAAATCATTAGGCGAACTTTGTCCTTAATTTTGAATGTGGCTCTTGATGACCGAGCTTAGAGACAAGCTACTCTGCCTATCCGCATGGGTGGGCTTGGCGGCCGTAAAATTTCCAGTGTAAGCCTACCGATTTTCATTTCTTCAGCCCATGGTACTCAAGAATTAACAAGGAAAATTCTTTCTCAATCACTGGTTAATTTTGATTGATATACCATGTTTAGTGGAAGCTGTGAATGCTTGGAAAATCCCTTGCCCAAATATTAACGCCCCGTCAAATCACTCTCCCAGAGACAATGAGACGAGCCGCTGTGCAGAAAAGTGAGCGAAAATCTCTTGAACTCCTCTTGTTCAACTGCAGAGAGAGATCGCCTTTTGGCTGTGGGTGAGTGGGAGTCGGGTTATGGCTTCTTGCTTTACGTTCGTCTAACCTAAGATCAAGCACGATATCATACAACATACGATTACGCTGAATGACCCGTACCTGATCCGACAGTCGTTGCGCTGATTTACTATTCCGAAGCAAGCATTCTGACACGGTACGCTGTCAGGTTACTTCCTCCATTTCATGCGCGACACATTACCACCGGGCGCTGGGACCCCTCCCGAAGCCAGTGGGCTTCGTAGTCCTAAGCAACTCGATGGCTGACGACCTCCCCGGCGACGGCGTGAAGGTGATGGCGTCGTTGGTACCGACGGCGGCGGAGCGGAGCTAGGCGACGAGGTCGGGGATGGCAGGCGTGACTGTGCCCGTAAAACAGCAGCAGTTCTTCTCGTCAACATTGATGATCATAATTTTTCATTTTGTTCACTGACATTTCTTCGTGCATTTGCGTTTGAAGTCACTAGATATTTGATGAATATTTTATTGATTTGTGCACTTGTATGTAGGTCATCTCTTTAATATTATAAAAGAGTTCGTAATCTGTTCTTTTCTGTGTAAATTTTTCCAAAATAAAGGTATAATTAATATTGAAATATTATTTTATAAACAGAGTAAATTTGGCATTTAGATGACGTTCACTTACCATTCATTGCACAGGGTCCCGGTCATTTGGGAGGCGTACGAGGGGCCGAAGCCAACAGAGGGGCAACGAGAATGTGAGTGGCTGAAGGGTTAAGAAACCACCGCTTTCTACTCAGATCATCTGCTCCAGCCGAAGCCTCCTGCATCCTGGCGTGGGCCAGCCATCGCGACTTACGAATAGTTTCTTATCTTCCGAGCAGGATCACTGCTCTCGCGACTCCACTTTGGACGGCCAATGAAGGCAAGTCAGAGGTGGGAGACCTGTACTTTATCACTGTTCACTCCAGCCAGCCAATAAAGGCAAGCCGGAGAGTAAGGAACGGTGACATTCTCAAACTTTTTAGCTTAGCCGTATAACAAATCTTTGAAAGGAGGTTCTTATCCTGTTTAAGATTTTCCATCTTAAACTTTTATATTAAAAGCTTATTCATCATTTTCTTGATGAATATGTCTGCTAAGCCATGGCATTATAAATTTTGTAATATAATTACTTAAAACAACTTTTTATTTATTTATCTTCACGTCATTCGTTCAGTGTAGGTCACGAAAGTTGTCTATCTTTCCGAAGACGTTGTTTGCCGGAATAGACCTCCTGTACTCGATTATTTTGTTCTTTGTGAAACAACCAATTCATTTGCTGATACGTTTTTGTTTTTGACTATAAATCTGTTAGACAGAAACTGGCGAATCATTTTGTGGCCCTGAAAAGGGCCTTTTATTTTGAGAAATCGATGCGATATTCTCACTATTTGCCGGGCTCTAAAGCCGAACTACCCATCGCCGTGTGACAAGAGAACCGAGCAGATCACGTAGGTCATGCCGCCGGCGCGGCCACTGGCGCTACTTCTCCGTCGTCCTCATCACCCGACTCCCCAATCAAGTACTGATATGCCAGTACAAGCATGTCAAGGATATACTCGTCGGAAACGATATCCATCTTGACCGTTTATAGTTTGGTTACTGGTACAATGGTACTACCGGCTCGCTTAAGTACTATGCTACGGTATTACAAGTGGCGGGGGAAGGCGGCCCGACGGACAGAGAGGTCCACCAATCACAGTCGCCTATGTCTGTCTCGCTCTGGAGAGCGGCGACGCAGTCAGTATTGGGAGGCATGTTAGAGCGGGTGGTAGGTGGGCAGGTTACGTTTTTGT